TGATTGGATAAGGAAACTGTGGTATACATACACAATAGAATACTGCTCTGCCATAAAAAGGTATGAAATTCTTCCATTCCAACACCATGGATGAACTATGAGAAAATTATGCTGAGTGGAATAAGTCAGGTGCATTATGATTATGATAATGATAAATGCTAACATTTATTAATCACATAGCAGAAAGTGTTGAGGGTTTTTGTTATCATTTCATTTAACCCTAAAACCAAGCCTGTAAAGTAGGTAGGTGTTATTGTTTTCAATGTTTTACAATTAGGAAACCAAGTTTCCCAGAGGAAAGAAACTTTCCTTAGTTAAATTTCTGATGCATGACAGAATGGAGATCCACTCGCAAGCTTGTCTGCTTTTCTTAAGCTGTTATGATGGACCTTCTCTAAACAGGGTCAGTAATTTCAGGACATACCATTTTTTTATTGAAGAAAGTCCAATTACTTAGCTTCCTCATAATTTTGATGTTCCCTTCTTAGAGTATATTACCTGTTTTTCAATTTAGCATCATTTAAAAAAGCAACAGAAAACAGTAATGTAAAACTATAGTAGCTATTTTTAATAAACTTTATTTTTTAGAGAAGTTTTAGTTTTAGGTTTATAGCAAAATTAAGCAGAAGGTACAGAGATTGCCCATATAATAGTTATATTTTTTTAGTGCGTACTATGACCCAGGCATTATTCTAGGGACTTAAATGCCATAGATCACTTTATCTTGACAATAACCTTTTGAGATAGGTACTGTTAGATTCCTCATTTTACAGACAAGTAAACTGAGGTACAGAGGTAGAATAACATGCCCAATATTAAACCAGGATTTGATAGTCATTCTGATTACAATGTTTAAAAAATGTTTTTAACCATCCTATACTGGAAAAAAAATCATCAAAGCTGCATACATTCCTACTAATGATAGTACCTGCTGTAAAAGTTCTGGACCACCTCCACAGCATGGGCCCCATGCTCCTGCATGCAGAACTCTTTAGAAGTGTCTCATGTTATTTAATATCCTCAGGCCTCTCTAAGCCTTTGAAGCTGACAGTATGTTTGCAAAACATATTTTTCAGGTGATTGATATTCACATGATTTTATAATGTCTTGCTTTGTGATAACTGATCCTTTGTACATGTTTCCCATCTATCTGGAATGTTGAATCTGACGAAAGAGAAGGCATTAATAAAGAAGACCCACTCAACACTTGTATCTCCCGTGAAGTCTTTTTTTTTTGTACTCCCTGGGATAATTAGTCCTTCTCACATCAATCTCATGTAGAAGACAACAATTTTCTCAAAGATGGAGATTGTGTTTTATTAATCTTTCCATCCAAATATGTGGCCCAAAGCTTGTAGTATCTACATATTTGTTGAATGAATAAAAGTGAATAATTACTTGGTCTAGGAAAAGGAGAGGAAGACAGAAAGAAGGACTGAGTGTCAACCAATATATATATATATATATATATATATTTTTATAAAGATGGGAGTGGTAACAGAAGGGGGTGAAGGATCATCTGGCTCCCTAAAATATCTCACGGTGGTACTCATGGGCCACTAAGTTTCCATGGAAGATAACTGTGGTGCACAAGCACTAACTTCTGGGAGGGCACTGATTCCTCTTTGATATTTGTCAGATCTGCATCCATCTAAGGAGATTCCTCTGAGGGTCCAATACCCAAGGGAGAAGGACAGAGAGCCTTATAATTGTGAGTGCAGTTGATGCAGAGCAGCATTCGGAGTTAATCAAAAGAGGCTGGTACAGGAGTGGGAAAGGCTTCAGGGACCTAGAAAGAAGCTAGAGATGAAAAGGGACCAGTAAGTTGTTGAATATCCTATGGTTATGGGTAGAGGTAACCAACCCAGTGACCTCTGATATCTCTTATTTAGCAGACTATAAGTAGAGTTATGGGATAGGGCACCTTCTGAGAGCATGGCCAATCTGTGGTTAGAGCTGCTGTTCTCTGATATATCCCCTGATGTTTCTGGTCAGGAAGAGGAGCCTGGACTTGTTACTGGGGCTGCTCATTGTAGTGGAATAATACAGGGTTTTGGTAGGCAAGAAATCATAATCTCAACTACTCCACCCAACTGATGGAGCTTCTTATGCATCAGGGCACGTGTAAAAGCTTTCCATCAGAGTGAGAAGCTAAGGTGCAGAGAGATTTGGCAACTTCACCAAAGCCGTATGACTGGCTTGTCCAAAAACCTGCTGAGGAGCTCAGGAATCCCAAGCCTGAGTCTCTTTACTCCTCCTGGGTGTCAGTTCACTTACCGACTTCTTCATAGCGCTCACGGCAGACGTGAAAGGAAGAGCCGTGTCCAGCAAATGGTAGGTAAACATGAAGAAGTTACAAAAAGAAGGCAGTATTAGAAATTACAATTAATAATCCACATCTATTCAGCATAGGGTCTAACAACATCACATTTAGAATTGCATATAAGTAGGAAGGTCTCTAACTGATAAAGTAGGTAAAATCATCTCAGTTTTTCAGATGAGAAAATAGATTACATGAATAATTTGCACATAGAGTGAATAGATATTAAAGTCATGATTTGAGTGCAGATCCCTGATGGACAGGAGTCTCAAGGGCCACAGTTCTAGATAGCTCCTCCTCTTTCCAGCAAACCCGAGATGAGAAGGCTGAGCTGCAGGGTTGGGAGGGAGCCCCTGGCCCCCTTCTCCAGGCTGCCAGCCTCTTCGGTTCCCTCTGTTGCTCACACTCCTCCCCATCAGTCCCTGGGAGTCTGACCACATCTCCCATTTCCCATCCTCTCTGCTGCTCAGCCCTCTCTCTCCTGTGGTCTCACAAGAGACTTTCTCCTCTCCTCAAACCCCTTCTCTCTCTCTCTCTCTCTCTCTCTCTCTCTCTCTCTCTTCCATCTGGCCCCCACTCTGCCCTCCGCCTCTCTCTGCTTCTCCCTCTGCCTCTCCCCATCTACTCTTGGTTTCTAAGCTTCCTCTCAATGTATTTCTGATTTCCCTTCAGTCTTGTTTCTCCCTCCCTAGTTCTCACTCCTCATTTTCTGCCATCAGTCTCCCTCTTCTCAGTCGTTCAGCAGCCCTGTCTCTGGCACGCAGCTACCCTATTCTTCAGGCCTTTCACCCCCACCCTCCACCCCACATATCCCCCACCCTCTGCTCCTGCATTTCTTCCTCTAAGCTACACAACACTCCTTCCCTCCCACACCCAGCTGGCCTTTGTCTGTCCTTCAATGTCTTTCTCACCAGCTTTACCTTCCCCTGCATTCTCTTGTTCCACTTTCTCACTCTCTCCCAGCCTTCCCCACTTCTTGAACCATGTCCACTCCCAGAAGTGCCCCTTAGGATATTTTATAAAGGCCACCATTTCACTGTCTCTCAGACTTTCCCTATCCGACCCTCCTCACATGCTTCCCCATTCCTCATCTGCATCTCTCTGTCCCTCTCTCAGCCCCACTCTGTGTCACCCACTCACACTGGGATCTGCTCCTCAATATCCTCTTTTCTCACTGTCTCCCAGTCACTCCCTCAGCCCCTGCGTCTCTCAGCAGATCCCGAATTTCAAAAGCACATGGCACCTTCTGCCAAGGTCTGAAGCACTATTGTACTAAAGAGGAGATAGATTTTATTTCTGTATAAAATGAAAGGTAAAGCATAGGAACAATAGAGGGAGATTATAAGGAAATCTATTTTTGGTTTGGAAGTAGTAATAACAAAAATATTTATTGTTTATTATATTCTGACATTCTCCTCAATTTTATACATGTGTTGTGCCAATTAAAACTTATGTTTTTGATTTGATTAGATAATCTCATTATTTTTACTTTATTACTGTGATACATGAGCAAGTATTATATCGGACACTGAGATCAAAGATAGCAAGACTTGCCTTGTGAGCATCTTCCCAAATGCCCCTCCTTTTATCACTCAATCAACTAATTTGAGCAAGGAATATGCTTTGTTATTGTAGCTACTTATTCAAGGTACACTTATTGATACATGTTTTTTTGCAATACCTGTGTAGAAAACATTGCTCTAACAGGTTTACCCAATTTACTAAAGTTGTGTTGTGTCAGGTCTCCAGCTCGATTTATGAGAATGCATGTCTTTGAAAAGACAGAAGGGAAAAGGAAACAGGGGATCTGGATGTCCACATACTCTAAAATTAAATTTTACAAGAAAGACATCTCAGGAGTTAGAGTAAATGTAGCAGCTTTAAAGATAGAGACTGTGCAGGCTGAATTAGCACAACCCTGGGAGGAAAAGCATGAGATTCCCAGGAGGCCTGAGGTGCTGCACAGTGAGAGTCTGGAGTTTCTGAGAGGGGCTGAGTCTGGAAAGAAGCAGAGCACCTCTTCTCCTGATCACATGGGCGTGTGGACAGGATCATATGGTGCCAATAAGGAGATAAAACGGGGCCGCATGGACGAGGAAACTCTCAGTAGGCATCCTCAATTTGCTTAGAAAACTCGGACAGCCGTTCTTCTCCAGGAAGGGACAAGCTTGAGAGGTCAGGCCATATGAAGGAGACAATCTGGGAGTAGGAGAATTGTGAGAATCCGAGCATTTTAAGGTTCAGCTGTATAGATTGTTATGAGATTTTTTTTTAAACTATCATTTATTAGCTGATCAAGAGCAGGAGGAAGGAAAGTCTTTGTAGAGGCTAATGCCATTTAGTTAAGCAAAGGATTCAATGGGAATAAGAAAATTAGGGCAGAAAACAAAACAAAACAAAACAAAAAAATGGTTTAGGCTGCTTGTTAAGACAGTGCTTAATTAAGGGGCCACAGAGCCCAGGCAGTGTAGAGATGCCACAGCAGCCAGCAGCGGACTGGTGGCCAATGAGAGTGGGAGGGCTCAAGCTTACTGGCCTACTAACCTTCAAACACGTTGCTACCTTTCCCAGAGTGAATAGGGCTCTGAAATTGAGGATGCCCACTCTGCCAAGTGCCAACTTGAGTTTCTCTACCTTCCTGCTGACGGGCTTCCCAGGCCTGGAGTGGGCTCACCACTGGCTCTCACTGCCCATTTTTGTAGGATATCTCATAGCTCTTGTGGGCAATGCCACTATCTTGCATCTGGTACGAACTGACCCTGCCCTGCACCAGCCCATGTACTACTTCCTGGCCATCCTGGCTGCGACAGACTTGGGCCTGTGCATGTCCACGCTGCCCTCAGTGCTGGGTGTGCTGTGGTTCGATGCCAGGGCAGTGGGCCTGGTGCCCTGTGTTCTGCAGCAGCACTTCCTCCACTCCTTCTCCTTCATGGAGTCAGCGGTGCTCTTTGCTATGTCTCTGGATAGCCTGGTGGCCATCCGATTCCCATTGCGCTATGCATCTCTGCTCACAGGTCCTCGGGTGGCCTTGGCTGGGGTCGTGCTTGGCATGCGAAGTGCCGCCATCACTGCTGCACCCTCAGTGAACCTATTGAAATTTGACTACTGTCACCCTGGGGCACTCTCCCATGCTTACTGTCTTCACCAGGACATGATCCGCCTGGCCTGCTCTGATACACGCTTCAACAGACTCTATGGGCTGTGTATCATCATGCTGGCCATGGGCTCTGATGTTCTTTTCATCCTGCTCTCCTACGCTATCATCCTCCGCACGGTGCTGGCCATTGCCTCTGCAGGGGAGCGGCTCAAGGCTCTCAACACCTGTGTCTCCCACACCCTGGCTGTGCTCTGCTTTTATGTGCCTGTGCTAGGTCTGTCCATTGTTCACAGATTTGGGCACCACACTTCATCCCTGGTGCACATCCTCATGGGCACTGTCTCTGTGCTCTTCCCACCTCTGATGAACCCTGTTATCTACAGCATCAAGACCCAGCAGATCCGCAGGGCCATTCTCAAAGTGATTTCACTGGGGAAGATAAAATAAGACATTGGGGATGGATCTCGGCAATTCAAAGTGAGGAATGAGCTAAAGCTGCTTTTTAGAGACCTCTTGCTATAAGAAAAGTTTTGTTTACTTATTTTAGTGTGATTTATTGATTGTACATCATGAACTGACTCTAATGTTAAAATAAAATAAAGTCTATGCTTATTACTGCTCATGTATACTTTTAAATTAAATATATATTCACTATTTTCTTACATGAATATGATTGTTTTTTACATAAATGTTTGCAAGTTAAAATGTTTCTATTTTTTTCTTTATTTATTAGAACTCTGATTCTACCATAATACTATTAATGATGAAAAACTCTCATGATATGGAAAGTTAAATCACCACTTTTTATTCTTTGAGCTAGCTAAAGACTTTGCCATTATTCCACACAATAAGATATTATTTATTATTGATTGATTGACTTTTTTAAAAATCACATTAAATTGTATACATTTTCAGTGTACAACATGATGTTATGAAGTATATATAACATCATTATTTTCTGGTAAGAACATTTTATATCCATTTTTTTAGCATTTTTCAAGAATATATTATTAACAATCATCACCGTGTTGTACAATTGATCTCTTGAACTTATTCTTCCTATGTAACATTTTTTTTATCTTTTGACCACATCTCTCCAACCTACTTCCCCTCCAACCAACCCTGGTAACCACCCTTTCTCTCTATACTTCTATGAGATTAACTTTTTTAGATTCCACAGGTGAGCGGGATTTTGCTGTTTATCTTTCTGTTCCCAGCTTATTTCACTTAACATAATTTTCTCCAGGTTCATTCTTGATGCTGCAAATAACATAAATTCCTTTTTTTTTAATGGCCGAATGATATTCTGTTATGTACGTATACCTCATTTTCTTTGTTCACTCATGTGTTGATGGACCCAAAGGTTGATTCCACATCTGGGCTATTGTGAGTAGTGCTGCAATAAACACAGGGTGCAGATATATGTTCTTTATACTGATCTCCTTTCCTCTGAATAAATACTCAGTAGTGGAACTGATGGATCATATGGTAAAAATCTATTTTTTCTTTAAATTTTTGAGGTGCATCTATACTGTTTTCTATAATGGCTGCACTAATTTATATTCCTGCTTTGTAGATGAGGGTTTCCTTGTCTCTATATACTCACAATACTGGTTGTCATTTTGATCATAACCATTCTAACAGGTGTGAGATGATACCTCACTGTGGTTTTCATTTGCATTTCCCTGATGATTAGTGATGCTGAGCATTTTTTTCATTTACTTGTTGTCCATTTGTGTGTCTTCTCTTGAGAAATATCTATTCCAGTCCTTAGCCATTTTTAATTGGTTTACTTTATTTTTTTTCTTTATAATTGAGTTACATTCTTAACTGTTTATTTTCCTGCTATCGAGTTGTTTAGGTTCCTTGTAAATTTTGACTACTGACCACTTACCACAATTATAGTTTTCAAATATTTCCCTTCATTCTGTAGGTTGTCTTTTCATTCTATTGATTGAATGTTTCCTTTGCTGTACAGAAGTTTTTTTTTTTTAGTTTGATGTAACCCCATTAGTCAATTTTTGCTTTTGTTACTTGTACTTTTGATGTCATATACAAAAAAAAGTTATTTGTCAGATCAGTGTCATGAAATCCTTCTCCCATGTTCTCTTCTAGTCTTTAATCCATTTTGAGTTGATTTTTGTGCATGTTGTGAGATAAGGGCCTAATTCCCTTTTCTCTATGTGGATACTCCCAACACTGTTTACACAATAAAGTACTTTTCTAGCTACATCAAGGATAACTTTATTGTAGATACAAGAAAAACTTTCAACCTAGCTTTTTTATTCCTGTTATCCATGTCATAATCTAGGACAAAAATAAGTCCTAAGATCCTCCCATATTTTTTCCTCATTTTTCCTAAACTCTCCAATCTTAAAATTGTACTTAATTTTTGTCATCCACTTTTAGTCCTTTTTTATCTTCCCTGCCCCTTATTTATGTTTAAAAATAATAATTACAAATATAAAATAGCCATCCGTTTAACTTAGCTGTAAAAATAAAAACCTATAGCATGATAGAAGGTTAGTAATATGATGGCAAAAACAATGATATAAACCTAAAAATGTTTACCTGCTAATAATAGAAAATACCATGCAGGTCAGCCAACTACAACCACCACTCCCACAACAAAACAAACAAACAAAAAGAGTAAATAATAGAAAATAAACAAAGAAGAGGAAAAGATAAAGGATAGGAAAGATGCATGGTGCTGTAAGATCTGTAAAAGAAGCCAGACAGTTGTCTCCATAAAATAGGTGGTAGATAAGATTTCGGATAGGAGAAAAGGCATTATTTCTCCTGGAAGAAAAGAGAAAGAGTAAGACTCAATTATAAATGTGTTGGAGCAGAGGAGCAGAGAAGGAAGTTAAAGTTCTCATTTGCTAGCAATTATTTTCTCAGTGATAGACTGTGAAAAATTTTGATTGCAATTCATAAGGAAGTGGTGAATCAGGCTTTTGAGACTCAAAAGCTTTCCCAGTGACTATTTCTGCAGGCTCATCTGTTCATCTGTGCTCAAAGTACACTGAAACTTTAAGTCTTAGAAAGCAAAAAACAAAAATAAGAACTTTAAGTCTTAAAAAGCAAAAAACAAAAACAAACAAACAAACAAACAAACAAACAAACAAAAACCTCTTTTATCTCATTCTTTGCCTAAATTATATCTTCTTCTTGGCTAACCCTTTCCCTTCTGCACCTTTCTTTACATAATTACTACTTATTTATATTTTTAGTCAGATTCTGGTGACCAGTCATTGCTGAGTATTTAAACAGAGATGATTTGAGAATAAATTATTTACACATTTTTGAAAGTGGTCAGAAAGGAGAAATGAGAGACTGTTGGAAGACCAAGAAAAAACAAGAGTATTACACAGGAATTTAAAAGCTGCTCTCACCCTGGGCTCTCCCCACAGCCTGAACCTGCTGCAGACACTGAGGATGCTGCCATGGCCAAGAACCTCAAGCTGCAGCTGCCTTGGTGCTCAGGTGCTCAGGAGTCGTCATTTCACTGTTGCAGTCACAGGTGACTTACAGTCTGAAACACGTCTGACACAGCACAAAACAAGAGACTTCTCTCTTCCTTCCTATTTCTGATCTTCCCCAAATGCTCCCCAATTGCAGAAGATACCAAGAAGACAGCTATTAGGGAAGTTTGAGGAATGTTGTTAGTAGCCTCCCAGTCTCAGCAGCTCTGAGTACAGAAGGACTGAATTGGCCTGAAAGCCAGCAAATAAAGAACAAGCACATCATCTTTTAGATTTTTTTTTTAACTTTTCAGTATTTTTGTTATTGAGACATAATTGATTGTACATATCTGTGGGCTACAAAATTAAATATCAATGTGTGCAATATGTGATGCTCAAATCAGGATAATTAGTATATTCAACGCTGCCTAATGTAATCATTTTTTGTGGCCCTTTACCCGTTTCTCGATCTTAAAATTTATCTTGAAAGTGGCTTTCTCAGACTTTTGTTGACTCCTAGAT